ACAAAAAACCATTACTTGACAATCACCTATGAATAATGAGACATATCAACTATTTTTGTGCAAAAAGAACTTAAAATCAAATTTAAAAACTTTAAAGACCAAATTAAAAATTTTTTTAGTTTAAGGATTAACTCAAAGATTTATAAAATAGTTGAAACACCAAATTAGAGTTTAACCTAATAAATAATTAAAATCTCTGTTCCCCATAACACCTGAATCCTTCCATCGTTTCAACCCAAACCAAAAGTAGAGGAAAACATCCATGCTGAATAAACCCCACAATGTCCCTAATACTTCAGCTTCAATAAAGAGAAATAAATATTCATATATATACACACACACACAAACAAAGCGTGGTACCTGACCTGATTTTGTTACAACAAATTTCACCACACATTGCCCTACAACATTTCTAACAGGAGAGTTAAGGGGATGCAAAATGGCTCAACTATATTATTCAGTTGAATGAACATACATACATATATATATATATATAAAGGCTTCACGTGGAAGAGTATTGCCCAATACATGAACAAAAGAAAATAACAGATTGCCATTTATAGTTCCAAGATAAATCTTAAGGGGGTCAATTCACTCCATGTATCAACACATGCACATTAGATACTGTTTTTCAAAAATTCTCTAGTGGTCTCACACGTGTGAAATCTAAATGTGGGCGTGCCACTTACTTTGCTGAAAGTAAGAAAAGAAGACTTTCCCAACGACCTCTCCTTCCTCACGGTCGACCTCTTTGCAGATGGCGAGAAGAACGTTGGATTAAAATGAAATTTGCACCTTCAGACAATTTGCAAGAGGGAGGGATACCTTCCTGCATGTTGGGTTACAAAATTTGTTTTGGACAACTCCAAGAACTTAAACACTACCGTGATTTAAAATTAACAAATCCTAATTATTCTAAATTACCTACAATTTAAAATAAACTTGCAAGAAAAAAATGTACCCAAATTAAATTAAACATGCTTATGGTAAAATTAAAATGCTATCTATTGACAGATTTAGAAATTAAATTGCTACAGAATTGGACATTTAACCCTAATTAACACTAAAATTAAACGTGAACAGTGAATAAATTGAAGAGCTTGAAGTTGGAAAGAAACATGAAAGCCACACAAGTAATCATTGAAGCAATGCTACTTAAAATAAACACTAAATTAATTATAGACAGAAAATGAACAATACCCGGAAGAAACTTGAAATGTTGAAATTTATTGCATAAAATGAAACTGATGTAACAAGTACATAAATTAAATTTTCTACTGAAATGATGAAGAACACCCTAATTCTATTGGAATCTGTGCTGAAATCCGAAATCTGAAAACATGTGCAGAGAAAATGAAAGTATGAAAATTTGTAGATGTTTGAGTAAGGCTGACCGTGTGTTCTCCCTTTCAAAATTTCCTTTTTGTTCTCCTTGTGTCGACAGTAACTTCCACTTTCTGTAGTTACTTAGTTTTTTAAAGTAATGTGACAACTCACCTTTTGACCTGGTCTAATCTCCTTGTAGATTTCGTTACTTGTAGTCTTATCAGATAAAATTCCCTTTTTAACTGCAATCTTCTTTTATTTTTCAGCTCCCATTATCCCTTTTTGTCTCAAAAAGATAATTACTCCATAAAAAATTATTTTTACCTCTCCTCTTTTGCCAACACAAGTGCTAATCTGTCACTGAACCCAAAATCTGAATCGACATGGCTCAATCTTCTTCAACCAATAAAAAATATTTTACACGTGACATTAATTTAAAATTTTACAATTTATGGTATAAACAGATACATATCATCCACCAAATTCAGATGTGGTTTCAGGCATCTTAAGTATCTTCTATCTACTTGCCGAGAAAATGAGAGATCCCTCAAATATAT